GGCCTTATATAACAGCACCAACTAAACCGTTTAAGGTAGGAAGTGAAGAAGGAAACCACATCCCATTAAAGCCCCTGGCGACATTTAAGCAGGCAGAACATAATTACCCAGACTGGAATTTGGCCAGATATCTGGGCTCATGTTTAAAAACATATTAATATGCTTCCCCTGTCTGTCTCTTTTGGGAACGAAAAAGTGCAGCTTACCCCCTGCAGTGTGTGGTACTTGGTATCAACCAAGCAGTTCAGGAGAGCATTTAAACTATACTCCTCTCTTCTTGCTTTTACTCATCTCAAAGCACTTTACAAATTCTCATTTGACCGTGGTGGAAACTGAGGCACAGAGTGGTTTTGGGGGGATGGGGCGGAGTGAGTTGCCCATGCTCACACAGTGGCAGAGGTAGGATAGAATCCTGACTCCCAGTCTGCTCTAACCACTAGACAACATTCTCCTCCCAGAGCTGGGAAGAGCACCTAGGAGTCCTGACTGTCAGTTCCTCCTGTTCTAACCCCCTAGATCACGTTCCCTAGGAATAGAACCCAGGAGTCCTGATGGACAGCCTGCCCCAGTCTAACCACTGGACCACGTTCAGTGGAAAGAGAAACCTGGCATCCTGCCTCCCAGTCCTGGGAGGCAACGTTTAGCCCATGCCACCTGCCTTCATGATTCCACTAAGAGGCGGACAGCAAGGTGAAGTCACTTGTAAACCTCCGGAGCGCTTCTGAAGAACGAAGCAGCCATAAATAAACATCTAGTCTGAGTAGCGCGGCAAGCGAGATAAGTGTTTCCCGCCCTTCCTGCTGCTTGGCGTAAAGATTCAGGGAGCCCTCTGACAGCAATAAGGGAAAATGACCGGTTCAGATTTTTTGCTTGGGGTTTCTTGGCAGGTTTCAAAGCGCTGGAGAATTGAGATGGAGGAGGAGGAGGAAACTGTGGCCAAAACCAGCGTCTGAGCACAGAGCTTTCAAAAGCAGCCCCGTTGTCTAGCTTCCCTTAAAACCACCAGTGTATTTCGTGCCCATTGCCTGGCCCCGGCCGCCTCCTCCCCTTGCACATTGTAGGTGCAAGAGCCTTCTCCACTGCATCCCGGTGTCCTCTATTTCTCAGCCTTGCCACCTCTGTTCAGATCTTCTTGGCTTGAAAACTGCCTTTCCCCCTTGTCCTTACAGGGGGAGGTGTTGCGGAGGATCAAAGATCTAGGGTTGTGCTGACTCTGCAAGCTTCTAAACCCCCTAGGCAGGTGGCTGGGAGAAACCAACCCCATGGGATCGCTGTCACTTCATGGTGGAAGGTGCTCAGATACTACTGTGACAGGTACGGTACAAGGACCCAGAACCCAGATCCCAGGACCACCCAACACTGTGGGGAAAGTTCTGCTCCAAACTGGCTCTCCCTTGTGGCCCCCCCCTCTGAAGGGCTGAGTTTCCTCCATCTTAACAACATCTCCTTGCAGCAGGCCTGGCAGTGGTGGTTTGTGGCTAGGTCATTGGGAAAGGAGTTGGGACACCTGGGTCCTAGTCCCGGCTTGGCAGCTGACCTGGGGCAAGTCAAGTCTCTGCGTGCCTCAGTTTCCCCTCACCTATTTAGACTGTCAGCGCTGCAGGACCTGGGCTGTCTCTTACTGTGGGGTTTCTGTGCTTAAAGTGGTCTGAACAAAATGAGGGATTCAATCCTAAACTGGGAGCGGCAGCTTTAGAAAGAGAGCTTAAATTGCACAACCCAGCTCAGTGTTTAGATTTTGACTGGGGGGGGGATTGACCCCCTCCTTCCACTTTAAATTACTCCTCCCACTTTAAGCACTGTAGCCCAGATCTTCATGTATTTAGGCCCTTCACTCCAGTGGGAGTTAGGTGCCTAAATACCCTTGAGGGTTTGGGCCAGTGTGTCTGCACGCTTGGCCACTGATCTAGGTTGGACCCTCCAGCCTTTTCATAATAATGCTAAAGTAACAGCAAGTATTCTGCGGTGCCTCTGAACTGCCAGTTTAGGGTGGAAACTTTTGCAGCAAGATAAATAGTCATCAATTAGCTGAAACAAAACAAAAAAAAGTGCAATTAAGGGTCTTAATTCCCTCCCCAGCCTGGAAATTGAGGGCTGGTCTCCACTGGGGACGTCCATCAGCATACACCCCTGGTGTAGACAGTGCTAGGTGGACGGAGGAATTCTTCTATCCCCCTGGCTGTCGACTCCTGATAGGAGAACTGCTTACTGGCGTCAGTAGCGTGAGCGTCTACATTGAAGCGGGGCAGCTGTTTAAGTGGAGACGTGCCGTCAGGAACTCCATCCTAATACTGAGGCGTTGGAGCAGAGAGGCCCGATTCTGCCGTGCTCCTCGGCAAAGCTGCCATTGTTTTCAACGGGCTGAGAGTTGGGCAGGGTGGATAAAAATCAATTATTTAAAATAAAAAAAAAAAAAATCGGGTTTTTTTAATTTAAATCGGATTTTTGAGGAAAAACCCTCTCTAAAGATAGATACATTGTCGCTCAAAGATATCTCCTCATGAAATAGGGATTATAAATTCTAATTCTATCGTATGAGATGATATATTCATGTAAAGTTTAAGAAAAGTTTTGTAAAGCAGTTCCAATAGTTAGTTCATGGATTAGGGACCCAGTCTTATGAGGTTCCAGGGGCTTCTGTAGAGATTATTTAGGTGAATCTTTCTCTCTACCCAATGGGACTCAGTGCTCAGTCTAGAAGTTACCATCAGAGATGCTTCGTTTTGCGGTTCTCAACCTGTGGATTTGTGTCTCCAGAGAGAACACGCTTGTTAACAGCCAAAATGTTTTAAAATAAATAAATAATATAGAGAGGTGAGAAATAACAGACCCCAACCCTATTGTCCCTCTGCAAATTTGTGTACACAGAGTCCATCCCTTACCCCGCTCTAAAAGTGCAAAGTTTCAAAAAGTTCAGTGAATAGAAGATTGTTGGGGGCGGAATAGATCTGGACAAGGAGAAGGAGTCTGCAGATAAATGTGAGAAGGGAGGGACAGGCAGTAGAAACAAAAGTGAAACTGTTTGAGCAGCATATTCCAGAATGCTCTTTTATGTAGAAATCCATGATTAAATCGAGTCTCCCTGACTAGTGATTTAAATCAAATCCACCCTGGGGTCGGGTCCGTTAGCTCCACAGGGGCTGTGCGATGGGGCCCTCAGGGCACGGGGCGTATTTGCGGGCTGGTTCCGGCTTGTTGTATCGCAGACAGTAAACGTGCCGTTGCCCTGCATGGGGGCAGGTTAGTCCTGAGCTAGCAGGTGGAGTTTCTGGGGGGTCATTGCAACAGACAAGGTACATGGGGTTGGATACGGCTGGCCTTCCATGCTTCTCCATGGGACCCACTAGGGAATCTGCAAGGCTGGGTTTTGTTGTGCAAACAGATGAACCTGAGTAAGTCCCCACCCCCAGCATTTCCCTGCAAAGCCTTCCTCCAGGAAACACGCTAGGCTCCTGCCGCAGAGGGGCTGCAAAGAGTGTCTTGTCGATTTCCAGGCCGCTAGGCTCCTTCCACCTGACCTGCTGCATAAGGCAGGCTGAAGAACCTCTGCATCAAACCCAGCACCTGAGAGCTGATCCCAAGCAAGCTCTCCAGGCACTGAGCTGCCCTCTTCACCACAGCAGGCGATCACCTCTCAGGCATGGGTGCCTTTAGCCTCACCGCACCCCTGTGGAATAGGGCAGCCCCATTTTATATGGGCGGGAACTGAGGCACAAGGTGGATGGAGTGGATTGTCCAAGGTCACACACAGCAAGAACCCAGGTCTCCTGGATCCCAGCCTCATGCAGGAGCCGCTAGCCCGTCCTTCTTACAGGAAAGCCACCTTAGCACATCCCCCCCCACCCGCCCAATTATTGGCAGTCTCAGCAGAAAGCCCACAGAGCGAGTTACATTCAACCTGCTCCATTAAAGACAGTCTGGCCGGGGCAGAGCTCAACGGCGCATTCGCAGAAGTTTAGCACAAGCTTGCCCTGCCAGTGCCTAGACTGTCCCTGCCCTCTATGTACAAACGGCAAGTGCCAGGCTCCAGGGCTGTTAATGCAGGATGGAACCCGGGCCAGTGGTAAATTCTCTCTTACATGCCACTTTTAAAAAAAAAAAAAAGGAAATAAAAACCATTAAAAGTCCCCCACGCGTTTCCAGGGCTGGAGCCGTGAAGGAGTGAGAGGACGAGAGAGTTTGCACACGCAACACAAGGGAGGAGGCAACCTATTAAAAGGCTTGCTCGCCCACATATACAATTGTTCAGTGCGGCGAGAGAAACCCTGGACCATCGCAGATCCAAGGACAAATCCCCGAGGTAGCCACATGAGGGGCCCCAGCTGAAGTGACAAGCGTCCCCCCCTTGATCCCCTGCCTGCTGCACAGAGCTGAGTGTTGCAAATGGCATATTCACTGCATGTCTTCTCATGCATCAACCGCAACACACACACACACCCCCAACCAAAAACTGTTTGCACTGGAAAATGGCTTTGCCTGTCACACTCTGCAAGAGGCTGAGATCTCAGTGCCAGGCTGAGCTTTTCCTCTGACTTTCTGTCCTCCAAAAAAAGAGAGACTGACCAACAGATCTGTTCGCAAAAAGAACAGCAGGACTTGTGGCACCTTAGAGACGAACCCATTTATTTGAGCATAAGCTGCAGCTCACTTCATCGGATGCATCCGATGCTCATGCTCAAATAAATGGGTTCGTCTCTAAGGTGCCACAAGTCCTGCTGTTCTTTTTGCGGATACAGACTAACAGGGCTGCTCCTCTGAAACCTCTCAATAAATCTATTTGCACTTGGAAAAACAAACCCAAGGGCCAACGTGTGAGTCCTTTATTCACAAGGGGGAGCCCCGTCGCCCCAGGGGAACGCGCCTGGGAGTAGCTTGCTGCTCCGCGATGCGAGGAAAGGATTCACGACCCAGCCCCAAAAGAATCCAGAAGAAACCGAAGAGCCCAGCCTGGATCCCAGCGCAGCAAGGAGGAAGCCGCGAAATCAAAGTCGCTCACTAACCTCTCCTGAGAAGGCAGCCGGCTGCAGGGGTGGAAATTCACGCCAGGCGTGTGGATGCTGATCTTGCGAAGGGGGCTGGAGAGTGGGAACTTCTCCTCCGGAGCTGGGCTGGATCTTGCAGTGGGCCAATGCAGAGGGGAACTGCAGTTATTCCAAAAGAGAGCACAGAAAACGCATACCGCCGGGAGCTCAGACAGCGGGCGAGGCAGGACCCAGGTTGAAACGAGCTCCCCGATGCACAGACACACACACAAAACCTTCCCCCCCTCCTTTTATTCTCCCCCCCCCCTTAAAAAAAGAGTGCCAAGAAATCACACAGCTTGGCAAATGTATTTCTAATTCAACGCCGTGCTGGCAAAATTCCCCCCTCCCCTTTGCAACTGGCAAAACCCAGCAGAATATCCCACGGAGAGAGGGGGAAATTGGAGCAGGACAGATTTTTAATCCAATGCACCAAAACTTGCTGATGCCCCTGAGTTGCAACCCAAAGCACAGTGCTTCTGCTTGGAGAAATGCAGGGTCCCCCCCCCCCGTCTAGTCCCCTTATCCTGATCGTCCCCTCATTGCACACACACGGGTTTCAATAGACACACGCGGCTACCTGCCGTCTAGCGGCGTGAATGTTAGTTGATACCTTTGTGCATCGTTTCAGATTGCAAGCAGAAATGCACAAACCAGCCCTGCCCTGTCCCTATTTGCGGGGGGGGGGGTGCAGTTTGAACCCTGGGCTGAGTTATTTTCAGCCTTTGGCGGAAGGCACAAAGGGGCAGGACAGAGGGCGGCTGCTTTGTAATGTAAATTACCCGGAGTCTTTGTGAGCGTTGGGGGAGCCCGGATGGAGCCGAGTGGCTGGGAAGCTGGTCTCTCTCCCCAACAGAAGTTGGTCCAATAAAAGAAATGACCTCACCCGTCTCGTCTCTCCAATATCCTGGGACCCACACGGCTCCAGCTACACGGCCTAGCATTTGGCAGCAGTTCGCGCCAGAAAAGTTAGCGACAAATCGAGAACCTGGGATGTTTTTTTTTTCCCTGAACGCCGCTTCTTTAATAGCGGGTGGCAACTCCGAGGGGCACCTGGCGTCAGCGGCTCAGGGTGGGGAATGAAATCCTGTTCACTTTGTTATCCTTGTAACCGTCTCGCCTGGGAGTCCCAGTCCTGGCCCAGGACCCCAGGGCGCTCGGTGCTGTACAGACACAGAACAGAAAGACGGTCCCTGCCCCAAAGAGCTTCCAGTCTAAGAGCCCATCTGCATTTGAGCTGGGAGGTGTAATTCCCGGCGCCGATAAACGTATCTGTCCATACGTCTCTATGGTGGCTCAGGCCAGTGGGTCACTGGGTCAGGCAGGTTTGTCTTTGTCTTTGGGGCAGCTAGTCTGAGCAGCCGCCCATCCTGCTGCGGATATGCAAGCAGAGCTAGCATGGGTACGGCCACGCAAGCTGGGAATCACAGCTGCCGGCTCAAATGTAGATGTGCCCAAAGCATACGAGACAACCGATGGGCACAGAGAGCCCGACAGGAAAGTGCAATGGAACAACATCTGTCAGCCTGACTGTTCCCAAGTGCGGTACGTTCCGTGAGGCCACCTGGATGTCTTCAGTTGCAGAAAAGACTAAGTAGCTTTTCCCCCATGAGAACCTGCTTCCTTCCAGGCCTTGAGTGGAACCCTCCGTGCCTCAGTTTACCCATCTGGAAAAAGAGGACGGGGATAAGGACCGAATCAAATCACAAAGGGGTCGTGTTTAAGTGCTTGGAAATCCTGGGTGAGGGGCTAAGAATGGGCACTACACTGTCAGTTTAGCTGCTCGATTGAGTGGGGCCTGATTCTGAACTGACTCCAGTGGGTAAATCGGGCGTTGCTCCATTAGAATCTGTGTGGTTTGGTTGTGCTGGTGAGCAAAGACTCTGTCCTTCCAGTAGACACCGGTTCAAATCCTGGCAAGGCAGAGGAATAAATCTATTTCAGGCAAATTGTTTGCAGTTTGCTGGACACTCACTGAATGAGCATTTTAAAAATCAAGCTCCTGTCTGTCTGCCCTACTTGGGCATTAAGTATTTCAGGGCGTTTCTCCTAAGAGTGGAGTTTTGCCTTCATTATCCTTGGCAGAAATCTCTCCTAACCCGCAATGTTGGTGCTCCGTGCCAACTGGCTGCAGCCTTCCACCCCAGAGCTGGCTGCATGTCAGCAACGGTAGAGCCAAATTCTGCCATTGGTTATACAAAGGCTTTTTCTTTTATGATTACGGTAGCCCCTACAGGCCCCAGCTGGGATCAAGACCCTGCATGCAAACGGGCTGTACGTACACCTGCAGGTCAGTGGCAGAGCCAGAAACAGAACCGAGCTGTCATGATTTAGTGTCCTAGTCACTGGACCACACTGTCTTTGGAAATGAATTGGATTTCCTGGAAGAAACTAAAGGCATAAATTTGCGCTTAGTTTGTGAAGGCCTTGGGCTCTCTTTGGAGGATAAAAGTTACTCTGAAAGGTCTTATAGCCTGCAAGTAGGATTCAGTGTAGAACTTCGTATTTTATAACTAGATCTCTCTCAAACGTCCCTTACCAGAGGGCAGCAGGAGAGGGGCCTGTTGGATAATGGCTTCATTGAATTTACAGAGAGCAACAGCACCTGAATGGAATGAATCATTTATCACTCTAAGAATTAAGATCTAGTTAACGGTGTTGTCTGAACACTGTGAAACAGCTGCCAGGTTCCACCCCAGAGGTGGTGGCATTTTGGTGCTGGGGAATGATCTCTGTGCACTGTCAAATAGCTGTTACATCCTGCCTCAGAGTGGCAGCATTTCAGAGCTGGGTGAGTGACCCCTGTGCAGGCCATATCAGTACCTTGGATTGATGTCTGTCCCTGAAAGGTAATACAGTGCTATCATCACCATTTTACAGGTGGGGAAACTGAGGCAAAGAGACTAAGTGACTTGCCCGATGTCACCAAGGAAGTCTGTTAGGGAGCAGGGAATGGAACCGAGGTCTGAGCCCACAAGCTAACCAGGCTTCGGCTAGATAGACGCATACAGAGCCTGGAGAGAGGTGACCTTATTGTAAGAAGGGTAGCAGACGGGATGGGACATTGAGCAGCCATCGCTTGACTTGATGGAGCACCTGTGATTTGCCGGAGTCCAGTCCGAACACGTAGGGCATGAATCAACATTACCCTCCAGAGTGAGCAGACCTGTCTGTTGACGCTCCTGCAACTGTGAAAAAGCCATCTGTGCTGAGCCTGCATGCAAACGGCCAGGAGAAGAGAGACTCCAGTCCAATAGGGAAGCCTGGACTTTCCTGCTAAAAGAGAGGGGAGATGGAGATTTCCCTGCAGAGTAAAAAATAAACAAGAAAGAAAAATCTGCTTCACCAATAAAACCGCTGGGTTCCACTAGCAGGGTCAAGAGAATGCCCTGATGCACATCCCCAGGGAGGCAATGATATCAGGAGGCAGTGTGGCCTAGTGCGTAGAACACTGCACTGGGACTCGGGAGATCTGGATTCTAGTATCAGCACTGACAGGTTTGGTGACCTCGGGCAAGTCCTTCACCCCTTTGGGCCTCAGTTTGCCTGTCTGTAAAATGGAAATAACAATACCAATCTTCTTTGTAAAGAACTTTGTTGGGTTTTTTTGTCCCCTGTAGATCTCAGTGTATCGGAGCTAGCTATTATATTTCCAAAGACGTAACGGGGCTGTCATTGACCAATGCTGGAATTTCATTAGTTTGTTTTCCCATTTACAGGCTGGGGCACCTTATTTAATGAAACGGCTGGTGCTGTTGCTTCCTCAGGTGTGGGGTGAGGGAGAGGCAAAGGGACATGTCTTCACCACGAGAAAGATTTGTGGGTACCAAGAAAGAGTCTGCTAGCAAGGCTTGTGTGAGAGTGTAAACCCACAGAGAGGCCAGCTCTGGACTCAAAGCAGCGTTCCGGCAGCAGCTGCCGCAATCAGAGGCCTGGGTTCAAACCCCTTAGAGTAAAATAAGCTGAGGTTGTTGAAAATGCTCTGTTGGGAAAAGACGAATTGACAAAATCAGAACTTTGCATGGGACCATGTCGATTTCACTGACATGACTGCAGGAAATGATCAAACGCTCTTCCTTCCAGAACTCGTTGGGGTTTGACTTTGTTATTTGGACTTTTGGGGTATAGTCTCGATTATATTATGTTCTGTTTTCTTCTTCCCCTTTTCCCATTAACTGGGGACGGGGCATTGTGCAAGCATCCGGCACCCAGGCAGTGCTACGGGGACTTACCTGCTGACCACCTTTGATGCAGTCCAGCCACCACTTCCTTGGTCTTCCTCGGGGTCTCTCCTCCCATCCTCTTCTGCCAGGCTGTCTTCACCAGCTCCCCTGCATTCATCTTCCCCAGGCCTCCACACCAGCCCAGTCCTGCTTGCTGGATTTTGTCAGCCACATCACGGACTTTGCTTTGTATCATAGAATCATAGAATCATAGAATATAAGGGTTGGAAGGGACCCCAGAAGGTCATCTAGTCCAACCCCCTGCTCGAAGCAGGACCAATTCCCAGTTAAATCATCCCAGCCAGGGCTTTGTCAAGCCTGACCTTAAAAACCTCTAAGGAAGGAGATTCTACCACCTCCCTAGGTAACGCATTCCAGTGTTTCACCACCCTCTTAGTGAAAAAGTTTTTCCTAATATCCAATCTAAACCTCCCCCACTGCAGCTTGAGACCATTACTCCTCGTTCTGTCATCTGATACCATTGAGAACAGTCTAGAGCCATCCTCTTTGGAACCCCCTTTCAGATAGTTGAAAGCAGCTATCAAATCCCCCCTCATTCTTCTCTTCTGCAGGCTAAACAATCCCAGCTCCCTCAGCCTCTCCTCATAACTCATGTGTTCTAGACCCCTAATCATTTTTGTTGCCCTTCGCTGGACTCTCTCCAATTTATCCACATCCTTCTTGAAGTGTGGGGCCCAAAACTGGACACAGTACTCCAGATGAGGCCTCACCAATGTCGAATAGAGGGGAACGATCACGTCCCTCGATCTGCTCGCTATGCCCCTACTTATACATCCCAAAATGCCATTGGCCTTCTTGGCAACAAGGGCACACTGCTGACTCATATCCAGCTTCTCGTCCACTGTCACCCCTAGGTCCTTTTCCGCAGAACTGCTGCCTAGCCATTCGGTCCCTAGTCTGTAGCTGTGCATTGGGTTCTTCCGTCCTAAGTGCAGGACCCTGCACTTATCCTTATTGAACCTCATCAGATTTCTTTTGGCCCAA